CCAGAGCAAACACATTAAGCGTAAAATCCATTCCCGTTTGAGTGCAAAGAGTGGATTCCATTGCTCACTTGAATTTATATGGGATTGTATCCTCATAACCGAAAAGTATAGTGTTTCAATAACCACAGCAGTAGGCAGAGGAGGAACTAAAAACCACCAGATAAGGGACTCTTACCTCTCTGTAGCCTACATCTGCAGACTCTGGAGAAGGGGCAAATCTAGCCACCTCATTTTTAAAAAAGAAGTGGGCGGGGGGAAGTAAAATGTTTTTGGCTCTTCCAGTGTCAGGCATTGTTCTAATCATTTTACCTGTATCAACTCAATCTTCACATCAACCCTTTTGAGGAAGGTATTATTCTAGGCATAGTTTATACATGAATAAAGCTCAGAGAGGTGAGGCCACACGAGGCAGCCAGGAGAATCTCCTAGCATACCCAACAGGGTTAATTAATTAGGTAACCCTTGTATGAATCTTCTGTTGTTTCTTCCAGTTATTTAATTTTTAAAGGTTTTATTTTTTAAAGATTTTATTTATTTCTTTTTAGAGAGGGAAGGGAGGGAGACGGAGAGAGAGAGAGAAACATCAATGTGCGGTTGCTGGGGGTCATGGCCTGCAACCCAGGCATGTACCCTGGCTGGGAATCGAACCTGCGACACTTTGGTTCGCAGCTCGAGCTCAGCCCGCACTCAATCCACTGAGCTATGCCAGCCAGGTTTTTTTTAAGACTTTTTTTCGTTTGTTTTTAGAGAGAAGGGAAGTGAGGAAGAAAGAGGGAGAGAGCATCAGTGTGTGGTTGCCTCTCATGTGTCCCCTACCAGGGACCTGGCCTGCAACCCAGGCATGTGCCCAGTCAGGGAATTGAACCGGAGGCCCTTTGCTTCATGGGCCCATGCTCAATCCACTGAGCTACACCAGCCAGGGCTAATTTGTAAAGGTGTTAAATGCTGCCTTCTCCTGGTGGCGAGCATCTGTGAGCTGGGACCGCTGTTAGTTTCTCTCCAGGTTCTTTCAGAAAGGAGGCAGCCGGCAAAGGACCGGTCTTGCAGAGCTGTGTTCCTTCTGCCCAATAAACTGTCCCCTTTCCAGTTTCGCTGATTTGTACTGATCCTTAAACGTCACTTCGCTCAATGCAGCCTCTCCAGATAGTAGTCCTTTCAGCCCTAAATTAACTTGGGGCCCCTCATCTGGGCTCCCCACCATTGAGCCCTTTTCTTACAGCATTTATCATAGTTGTATGGGTGTTGCCTGTTCAGTTGCTTCCCCACACTAGACTGTTAGCTCCATGATGACAGGGGCCAAGTAATTCCTACCCTCCAGGGTCTGCATCCCCAGCAGCCTGCACAGTGCAAAGAACAGAGGAGACGTCTAATATGGAATTTGTTTTGTTGTTTGTAAGTACGATGCTAAATCTGTAGCTGGTTTCTTCCAAGATGTCTAAACAAGCAACTACGTTTTCTGGATGTGAGGAATTTCTTTCTTTTTTTTTTTTTCCTTCTTCTCATTTTCTACATTGACATCGATAAGTTCAGTGAGTTCCAGCCTATGGCGGGGGTGGGGGGGTGTTTCACAATACCATTCACCAACTGAGGTCTCCCCCAAGCCAGTTAGAGCAGTGGGGTTTCTGCTCCCCGTCTTCTCTGTGACCTGGGCACGAGATCTTCCTTCGGCCCACCTCCTAGGGTGTGAGCTCCAGGGAGACTGCAGGGGAACTTCGTTCCTTTATGCAGGTGCCTAAAAAAGAGGCTCTTAAGAAGCCAAAAGGCACCTTAGGCCATTTGCTCCCCCCCCCCCCCCCCGCCAACCAGGCTCTCACCATATTATAAAAAAAAATTTACTGGATTTAAAAAAAATTAATTCCCGGTACAGGCCATGTGGCCCAAATAATGTGACAAAACTGAAATCTCTGTGATGAATGTCTTCTTTTCATCCTGCCAGAGACTGCACAATTGCTCCTACGTCTAACCTAATTTGGAGATACTTAGGTCAAAAACCTAAATTTGAAGCTCCGGCCAAATGCTTCCTCAACCCAAATCCCTCTGGCCCGGCCGCCCACAAAGCAGCCATCACCCTTGTTGGGTGGATGGATATTTTGTAAACTGCGGGACGTTGGGGGGAAGTTGACCGCCGCGGTAACAGCCCCAAATTCTCTCACGCTGCCAGCAGTGGCTCAGAACCTGGAAACCCGCTCGGCACGCGAGGCCGCCCCCCTCCGCCCTCTGCCCTGGGCCCTCCGCCCTTCATCCTCCACCGCCGCGGCCGCTGCACGCGCCCGGGGGTCCCCGGAAACCGCCGGCCCTCCCCGCCGGAAGTGACGTGCCCACGGCCTAGCAACCGTTGCCAAGGAGCCCGTGTCTGGGAACCCACTGGAGCCCGGATAATACCTCCAGGGGGTGGGGGAAAGTGGTTTCGTGGAGAGAATCTGAGGTAACCTCCGCAGCCCGCGGTCGGAAACTTCCCCGAACCCGGAGATCGGAGAGAACTCCCTCCGCCGCCCCGTCTTCCCCTTCCCCCTGCGGCGTCTCGCGGCCGGAGGGGTCGCCGCAGTTAAGCCCCCCACCCCCGGGGTCGGCCCCTGCGGGGCCTCGCGCCGACCCGGGCCGCTCCGCCGCCGAGTGCAGCGTCGCGGAGCCCAGCGGTGTCGGTCGGCTGTGGGGCCCCTGTCCCCTCTCCTGAGCCCGAGGTCGAGGGGGGACACTATTTTTGGGAATCCTACGAGGTTGCTGGCCAGCGCTCGAGCCAGCTTTAGCCCAGGGCGGCGCGGTTCCCGTCCCGAGTTGTGCCAGATACACACGCTCGCCCTGGTTTTAATTCTTGCCCCCACCCCACCCCACCCCACCCCCTCGGGTTCTTTGGAGGGTCAGTGCTGGAGAATTAGTGTGGCAGCCTTCCGCGGGAAGAGGGAGAGTAATTGCTTTTGCTAATTTTAGAGCGCGGAGCCCACTGGGCATAGGCAGCCTCTACCTGTTCCGGCACATCTTTGCCCTGAAAAACGCTGGTCGACTGACTGCCAGCGGGAAACCCGGCTAGTCTCTTTTCCTCTCCCGGTAACGTTCACAAGTGTCGTGTTCTGGTTTTTGTCTTGCTGCTTGTTTTGTTCTGAAAAGGAAAAAATATATGGGTGTATGTAAGGGATGAATATTATGTATTTAATTTCGAAATCATTGAAAAATACGTAGGTGTGTGAAGGTTATGATGTGAACGTTCCCTTAAAGTGCTTTGAACTTCGGAAAACTTGCATCTCCAGCGTGGATTTCTACGTAATGTAGGTCAAGTTTTTCTTCTTACAACTTAAAGAAAACCTCAGATTCATACCACACATGGGTTATCCTTTCTACTTTCTTTTGACTTATTTTTAACAACAATAAATGTTTACTGATGAATTTGTCCTAATTATGGAGAAATATAATGCCATCACATTTTGATGTTTTCTAAATATCCAGCCCCACCCACCCAATTTAAGAGACCTGTTTCAGAGCAAGAAGCATGCTACCCCAACTAATGTCTTGGGTAAAAGAACATCCATCCGTTTCATGGATAAAAAGTATTAGAGAGCACTACAGTAATTCTTTCTTTCTTTCTTTAGCAGTTCATTTTAAAATTCATTGTAAAAAATCACTAGGTAAAAGAAATTGCCTGCCCACAGAATTTCTAAACAAGCGATGCCTGCATGCAGGAGATGCTAGGAACCTTGGCAAAGCTCTTTGGCTCTTGAATAATCAGATATCCGATTTTTTAGAAGTTGTGATTTGTTACACTTATGGGGGGTTTTTGGGCCTTGGGCCTCTGAACAAGTTCAGTCTAGTGGAGCAGTCACTGTTTTAGATGCAGTGGGTCTTCAGAGATGGAATTAGTCACAGATAAGCCCTCATGGAACTTACAGTTTAGCAGAGAAGAGAAAGTGTACATAGGTACCTAGTGTAAAGTAGAGGAGTGACCGCAGGAGAGCCGTGTGGGTCAAGTGTGGTCAACTTGGAAGGTAGACCCTGTTATTCTGGTGCAGAGCAAGGTGGGTAGCCTAAGATTTCCTGGAGGGGCTTGCCTTTGGAGAGCAGGGCTTGGAGAACGGTTAGGAGTTGCACCTCTGGGGGTGGGGGGAAGGGAGAACAGTCCTGCTAGTGGCTGGAAGGCAGCATTAACCGAAGGCAGAGGTGGACCTAGGGAGTGAGTAGTGACCGTTTCAGCCTGCCAAAGTTCCCAAGGGTGAAAAGCACCAACTTGGAAGTACAGTTGGGAAAGGCTAAATTAGCTAGATCTTAAAGACTCTCAAAATCCAAGAAGTTTGGACTTTATTCTGTGGACAGTGAGAAGCCTGCAGGTGATTTGGAATGGGAGAGGCGGAGGCTGGAAAACGTGAGGCTATGTATGATGTTGTCCGGGGCAAGGGAAGTGAAGGCCTCAGTGACTCAAGGGTGGCGGGGTCCAAGCCTGCAGGGCGGAGCTTGGTGGAGGAACCTGCACAGACCGAAGGAGGCGGGCCCAGGCTACCGCTCGCAGCCAGCCCCTGCTCAGCTTCTGCCGGGCGTGGCCGTGCGCCGCTGTGGGCCCAGGGCCGCCAGCTCTGATTTTCAAGAGACCGGAAGTCTGGATTTTAATGTAAAAATATCCCCCTATTTTAAATCATGGGCTACTCGTTTTTTTTAATTAGAAATATGTCTGTAATCTAACAAGTGTTTATCCCCTGGGTAGAAGTTGTGGAGCTAACTGAAGAGATGACTGGTATAGTATTCATTATATTACTTACTGTATTACTATTTGTCCGAGTTAATTCAGGTGAGTGCTGTCACACAAGATGAATATACAGAACACTTGGCATCAAACATTAACAGTATATACTGCAGCGTTCATAATAAAGTCTTCACACTCTGATTTCTTTCAACAGAGTAACTCTTTTTCATTATACTTTTCATGCCTACTCCCTACGATCTTAATACTGATTCTTTTCCCCCCGGAACTTTTGTTACCAGTATTGAGGATTTTTTTCTCTATTTTTACTCTTTAGTTTAAGTTATAAGACCTGATCATGAGTGATCAAATCAAATTCATTGTGGACAATCTCAACAAGGAGCCTTTTAGGAAGAACTATAATTTAATCACATTTGATTCCCTGGAGCCAATGCAACTGTTACAAGTTCTCAATGACGTCCTGGCTGAGATCGACCCAAAGGTAAGCGTCTCCTCTTTCTCTGTGATGAAAAGGTGGCAGGAAAGCCAGTTTCTGCCTCTCACAGTTAACTTCTCTGGCCTTTATTTTCATGAGGCTCATAACTGTAAAGTAATTGAAAATGATCTTTAAGATTTCTGCCCTGGCTGGTGTGGCTCAGTGGACTGAGTGCCAGCCTGCGAACCAAAGGGTCACCTGTTCAAATCCCAGTCAGGGCATATTCCTGGGTTTCAGACCAGGTCCCCAGTAGGGGGCGTGCGAGACTCCCTCCCTTCCCCCTTCTAAAAATAAATAAATAAAATAAAATTAAAAAATATTTCTTTGTCACCTCAGAAATTAAATTATCTACTTGTACTTTATTTAGAAAATATTTCTCTACTTCCAAACATAAATAGATTTGGCCCAGGAATACAAATGCTTTTACAAAAGGCTTTATTGTGTTGTAAATTAGCTCATGTCTCTGCACGGAGAATTTTTACCCATGCCATTGTTAGTGTGAATCCTGATCTGACTTGGGTGAACCCTCCCTCTGGGGTCCTCTGTATTTAATCTGTATTATTAAGAGACCACTGTGCTTGTTATGCTCTAGTAGAACAATTTTGCAAGTGAGTTTAAATATCGTTCTTTGTTAGAGATACAACGATAACATATTTTTTAAATTTCTTTATTTGTTAGCAAGTTGTTGACATCAGAGAGGAGATGCCAGAGCAGACAGCCAAACGGATGTTAAGCCTTCTTGGTATTCTTAAATACAAACCCCCAGGAAATGCCACAGACATGTAAGAATCTGATTGCGTGTTGCTTTCTTTCTTTAAAAAAAATTTACAGAAGTTTTATTTATTTTTCAAACTAATTTTATTACATGTTGTTTTCCTTAAACAATGCTTTAATAGCCAAAGCATAGGCTATAGGCAGTCTTCCTAGGCAATGCCCGGTCTCCCTAAGTCAATGGCCTTGGAACATCACTCAATTCAAAATAACCTTGACCTTTTAATGTTACTTTGGCATGCAGAAGTCCTAAGTGGATTAGTTCTTTCTCCTAATCAAAAAGGTCAGGCGCATCCACCATTCCATTCTATCATCCGTGTGCCATCCTGGATAAAAACAAGAGTTTAAGCCGACCCAGTCAAGGAGGTGAAGTGTTAAGGCCCACTGTATCAGAGAATGGTTGCAACGCCACCTTCCTAAATATCCAGCAACATACTAAGGGCCTGATCTTATTTGTATCGTTAATGTACAGACTGACTTAAAATAGCCTTGGTTTTATCTTGTTACAGTTGTCATGGAAAGCAATCAGGGCATTGTAAATCAGCTCGTGAGTCAAGGTTACCTCCAAGGTTTACTTACGGGCCTGTGTGTGTGTGTGTGTGTGTGTGTGTGTGTTTATAGGAGCACCTTTCGTCAGGGTCTGGTGACTGGAAGCAAACCTGTAATTTACCCCGTGCTCCACTGGCTTCTGCAGAGGACGAGTGAACTGAAGAAAAGAGCCTATTTAGCTCGTTTTTTAATAAAACTGGAGGTGCCAAGTGAGTTTCTTCAGGATGAAACTGTGGCGGATACGAATAAACAGGTATTCGATACGCGGATGGCATTCGAAAATGCTCTGGAGTGGGTTTCGGGGCGCACGTGCTCAGATGCGTGCTCCCCTCTCTCTGGCTTCTTTGCTCTCTCTGTGTTTTCAGGTGACGCGAGAAAGTAACGTTCATCTGCAGTCATCTGTTAAAAAATTGACGTTTGTACATAAATACCAATTCAGTGATAAGGGTATGTGGATAGACAAAAAAAAAAAGCCCTTGGAATGAATGATTTTAGCATAATTTATACTCAGGAATTGGGGGTAGATAGTGGATCCTGGGCACCGCCGGGACTTTGTTGATCAGTTAAGATGACCGCACAGTTTGCCATCCAAATCAGAGGGAAAGGACTATCAAACCAGTTACCCCAGGACAAAAGGTGTAAACGGCCAGCACCCCAGGCACATTGGGGTGGGCGAGCCCCGTGAAGAGTGCGTGGGCACAGAAGCTAAGCCGGCAGCCTCAGAGGGCTTTCCTTCCAGTCAGACAGAAGGCAGGGCCAGGGACTGGCATTTCAGTGCGCTTTCCTCGCCAGAGTTTTGGGGTAGTCCTGGGGTTTGATCTTAAAGCTCTTGGCCACTGAGGATTCTGCCAGGTCTGCCTGCTGGGTCCTGGGATTAAAAGCGCATTGCTGCCGTGCTGGTGTGGCTGTGTTGGTTGTCCTGTAACCAACAGGCTGAGGGTTCAGTTCCCAGTCAGGACATATACCTAGGCCGTAGGTTCAATCCCCGGTCCCGGTGCTTAAGATCCCAGCCTGGGCACGTACAGGAAGCAACCAATTAATGTTTCTCACATTGATGTTTTCAAAAAATGCCCTCGGGTAAGGGTTATAAGAAAAAAGCACACTGCTGACCAGAGACTGTGGAAAGAGGCTTCTGGCCTAAGATTTCAAAGGACTTCGCTTGCAAGGGCAAGTGCCTCTGTCCGGCACCTGTGCTCTTCAGCCCACAGCACGTGCATGGATGGGTGTGCGGCTCTGTGACGAGCTTGTCCGCCTGTCTTCCCAGCGGGCTGCGAGGTCTGTAAACACGGGCGTCCTGTCTCACCCATCATTTTTGGCTCCTAGGGTTTTGTAGAATTGCTTCTGTATAGTATGTGCTCAAAATTTGGATTGAATCAAAACAACTAAATGCTTTTTCATCCATATATTTTGTTATTTTGGGTAAGCATGGCAGTAACTCAAAATAGAGTCAGTATTGATCCCTTACGACATTTCTGGGGTAGCTGTGTTTCTGCAGCTATCGTGTGAAGCACTACAGTAGATGCCATGGAGAGAACAGCAGGATGCGGCCGCCCGGCTGGTGACCGCCCGCCTTGGAAGGCTTTACATAATGTGGGAAATAGAAGAGTGTAATGCGGAATAGTCTCTCCTCCCTGTACTCTGCCATCGATCTGATACAAACCAATTCCCCTGGAGGAAGTTTATTAATAGTTTTTACTAAATTAATTACAGCCCAGATACTTAATGGGAGAATTCATGATAATAAAGACTTCCTGCAGCATATCTGAGGTGTAAAATGACTTACATATTTAGCCACTCATTTAGCAGAGACCCTAATAAAAATGCATATTTTCTTTATAAAGACCTTTAGAATAAGGTCTTTAGAATAATTCATAGATTTTTAGGATGTAAGTAGTCCAGAAAAGTATTTCCTGTCCCTGTCCACAAAAAATGTTATTTTTTAAAACTTTGGATAAGTGTGATTTTCTTCATTCACTCACATACTTTTTATGGAACACCATGTGAGTTGTGCAGTGCGCTCGGCCCCGGGGCCTGTGTGATCGGCACGTGAAGATGTACGTGGTCAGTGCGATTCTCACCTTCCTGGTTCTCACTGTCTCGTGGTGGGGGGACAGGGGAGGAACCAGACAATCACGATGCTACCTGACGTCCACTCCGAGATCGCAGCTCTCGGACACAGGGCTGGAGAAGTCTGCTGTGAGGGTAGGGATGCCGGTGCTGAGATCCGAAGGACGAATAGGCGCTGTCCAGGGTAGGGCCTAGGGGAGTCACAGGGTTTTCTCAGAGGGACTACGGTTCGCACACTGCAGTGAGAGCGTGGTGTGTTCCGGGGGCTGAGAGGAGGGCGGCTAGCCAGAATACAGGGTGCGCCGCGGGAGGGGGACCAGAGCGGAAGCCGGAGAAGTGTCCACCGACCGCCCTTCACGGGCCTGCTGCTCCGGGTCCTGTATAAATGTGCACGGTGCATTTTTAATGCTGTGCTTGCAGTGATTTAAGCAGTCGCTGTAAGTAAATTTATAGACAGCCTGATTAAGAAAAGCCTACTTGGTTGTGGACATTAGTTTGTAATTTTTTAACTTTTTCTTTTAGTATGAAGAGTTGATGGAGGCCTTTAAAACTCTGCATAAAGAATGTGAGCAGCTTAAGACATCTGGATTTTCTACGGCAGAAATAAGAAGGGTAAAGAAAAGAAAATATAACTATTTGTTTATTTGAATGATATTAGGTTGAGTATTTTTACCCTTAATTAATTCAGTATGAGTCTTAAGATTGTATGGAAACCAGTGCTAGCAAAGGGCAGATTTTCTTCTGTAGGACCTCGGCCAGTTCTTCACTGAACAAATCAGTGAGGACGTGGTAAGTTCACAGTGAGTTCTCGCATGCCATGTAGAGCACTACCATGGACTTGAAAAGGTTTATGTTTTCCCTGGCTGGCATAGCTCAGTGGATTGAGTGCGGGCTGCGAACCAAAGCATCGCAGGTTCGATTCCCAGTCAGGGCATATGCCTAGGTTGCAGGCCACGGCCCCCAGCAACCGCACATTGATGTTTCTCTCTCTCCCTCCCTCCCTCCCTCCCTCCCTTCCCTCTCTAAAAATAAATAAATAAAATCTTTAAAAAAAGGTTTATGTTTTGAGTTTCTATCTAATATATGTATATATTTTATATAGGTAGATAGATCTAAGAGAAAAGAACAAAGAAGATAAATTGTCCAGTTGTTAACATTTTGTTTATCATTTTATCATTAGCATTTGTTTATCATTATCGTTTCTTGTGTGTGTGTTGGGAGGTATCATGCTATCCTTAATTATTTGTGTCTTGCTTTTTAAGTCATTATATCATGAACATATTCCTATTGTTATCTTTCTACAATACAATTTTTAGTGACTAAATAATATTCCATAGGGTGGATAGTTGAACCCTTTTTAGTTTTTTATTTTCATTTTTTGCTGTTATAGATAATGCTATGATTATCTTCTACATAAATTTATTTTTGTATATCTGTGATTATTTCCTTAGCATACATTTCTAGAAACAGAATTACTTATTAAGACATATGAACATTTTTAGGACTTTCTTGTCTGAGAGGACATTTATTGAGGCCGGGGACGGTGAGGCAGGGCCAAGCCTAGGCTGGAAGCAGCAGCAGGGGCGGGACTGGTTGAGGCCGCCTTGGCGCTCTGGACGTGTGGAGGGCAGGAAGGGAGCCCGGGCAGAGCTGCTGGCCGCCCCCTGGACAGTCAGGGGACAGGGGCCTCGGGACAGATACAGCGGGCCGGCCCGCTGCCGCTGCCCACGGCTCCCCTGGGTGCGGGTGCCCCGGGGTCCCGCAGAGTTTAGGAGAGGCGCACTGCCAGGGAGGAGGAGGGGAGGGAAAGGCACAGGCGGGCTCCTGGGAGGAAGAGCGCCGTCAGGACTTTCGATGTGCGTTACTTAGTGCTCTCCGAAATATACCTCACAGTCTCACCGGGCGTTTAAGTTCCGTCCCCAAACACCTGCTGATTCTCATGTTCGTAAATTTTGTACTTTTAGAATTCCTGAGTTATCAGTGCCGTCCTCATCTTGTCCTTCAATCAGGAAGCATTAGACGTTGCTGTAAGAGTTTGTTGAGTGTGTTAGAATGACCCCCATCTAGTGGGGGGAGGACCCGTGAGTTGGTACTGACGACAGTGTGGAGGAGGAGGAGTGGCGGAGGACCACCCGCTGGCTCTCCGTCGTGTCCTGTGACCGAGCCAAACTGACGAGAGGGAGTCCGTCACTAAAATTTCATTAATTACTACCAAAGAACGCATTTTGAACATATTCTTTGTGGAAAATATGATGAATTAATAAATAGAAAATAAGTCACTTAAAATCCCATGTCCTAGAGATCACTGCTATTGGCATTTTAGTGACTCTATTTAAATCTCTTTCTGGGTATCATTCATACTGTACGTAAATGCTGCAATCCGCTTCTTTCAAGCGATTTCATATCATGCCTTTTTCTCATGTCATTGAACATTCTTTTGCATTATTTTTAATGCCTTTCATTGTATCATAACACAGTTTATTTAATAATAACTCGGGCACTTGGATCATTTCCAAATTTTAGAATGATTAGCAACTGTGAGCATTCTTACAGAGAAGTCAGTGCCCTTTCATTCGTGTGTTATTAGGACACATCCCAGAGGTGGGGTTACCGGGCCGGAAGGTATGCACACGTTTAAGACTTTCGACACTGCTCTTCAGTGCAGTGCCGCCTGCAGCGGGTAGGGTCCCTGCTTCCCCGGATTCTGTCAATGCCGACTGCACGTAGCGTTTTCCTTTCAGCGTTGCTGTGCCGGCTGGGCTGTTAGTACTTCAGGTTGAGGAAGGATTTGTTTGTTTGTTTGTTTGTTTTCTTTAGAAAATATTATGGAGCTGGTTAAAAGGCAGGTGGTTTATTTTCGAAGTCTTTATTTTTAGGGAGGGACTTTGTGCATTGACAAAACCAGACACAAAGTTCTATCTTGAAAACACCATAGCCTTAAAAATAATTTGATGGCATACTGGCAGAATATCCTGTGTGGTATTTAACAGCGGATAGGATGTCAGCAGCTGTTCGTGTTTTTAGACCTGCGCACTTCCCATTATAGAAGATTTCTGAAAAATCGTGTGCCCATATTTGGAGTCAGAACACAAGTGTGCTGGCTGGCAGCTTTACCTTGCTGCCTTATAACCTGTTTTAGCTGCCTTTCCTGAAAAGCTGCCAAGCTGCCACACAAAGTACCGTGTGTGAGGAACCCTGGGGGTGGAGAGAACAGGAACGTCCCTCATCCCAGCTGGGATCTTTGTTCCTTAATGCTCTGGTAATAAGTGGTAAAAACGATAGATACATAATTACCTAAAAACCTCATCTGAATTCTAGAAGAATACTTTTTCTTACTATGTCTTCTTGACTACTTTTTTTAGGATATCAGTGCAATGGAGGAAGAAAAGGACCAGCTCATCAAGAGAGTCGAACGCTTGAAGAAGAGGGTAAGGCGAGAATTAGCCCTGTGAGCCTTGGGCCCCAAGTGTTAAGCGCTCGCAAAGACTTAGGAATGCAAATAGAGATTAAGCAAGGCCTGGGTGTACATCTAAGGAGGGACTCAAATAGCACTGACGGAAAGGGAATCTCCCTAGGCAGTAGCCCAAAACCTTTAAGGGCCTGGAGTCCAGCGCTTTTCTGTCATCTCTGGGGCGTACTATTTACCAGAAGGAAATGATAAGTGGATGTCTGAGTCACGTGACGTGCTAATGGCTTCCTTAAACTTCACTGTACCCTGTACTTCTTGTTCCTTTACTGTAGGTGGAGACAGTTCAGAATCACCAACGGATGCTTAAAATAGCAAGGCAACTTCGCGTTGAAAAAGAGAGGGAAGAATTTCTTGCACAACAGAAACAGGAACAAAAGAATCAGGTATCCATATAAAAGTTTATATTCTCGTGATGAAAGAAACAGTTCCTTCCGATAATTCAAATGTAAGGAAAGAATCGTTTAAGAAGTTCATGTTTCCCTCTGTGCCCATGATGGAGCGCTCTTATTTTAAGAGTCTTGTGTGGTGCCATCAGTGTGTGTCTGTCCACTGCCTCTCAGCTCAGGCCGGACTCATGTCACTCCAACAGGACAGGACATTCGTTGTAACGTCAGGCAGTAAGGTTAACTGCTGGCAAAACCTCCAGAGTCTCTCAAGCGTGTCTTGAGATTCCGGGGCTACGGTGACCTCCTTTCCGCCCCCTTGATCACAGGACCCCTCCACTTCACCCCAGCGGTGAGGAAGCAAATCGGGAAAAGGCTCTGAAACACTCACAGTCCCCATCGCTAGCCTTTGCCTCAGAGAAAAAGCATTTGGTCAGAAAATAATTACTTTTATTTTGTTAAGAGTCGTTCTTAAGACTGAGAAGACTTACGCATTAAAAGTGTAGTTCAGATCAGCTTCCTCTCCTTCTCAGCGGGCAGCCGCCCGGCTCTCAGCGCGCGCCGGGCACCGCAGTAGCCCCGCCGCGGCGGCGGGCTGCGCTGCCGGCCCCGGGTGCTGCCCTGTCCCGGTCTCGTCCGGACGGGTCGTTTGTGAGGAAGCTTGCGTTCCTCGAAGTTAAGGAAAACCGTGTTATAAAAAGAAAAGCGTGGTCCATATATTTCTTTAACGAGTATTTTTCCTTGATCACCAAATTCAAAGAAAAATTTTTTTTAATTTCTGAAAGCTCTTTTTTAAAAAGTTTTACAGGAAAGAGTATGAGGGAGCCCTTTGTATTTGGGATTTAACACAGTAATTTTCTTGGTTCTTATTATTCTTTTTATGTCACAAGAATTATATGGGACTTACATTTTCGTTATCTGTATGAGTGGTAGGTTTCACTGGACTAAGCAAGTAATGGATTTAATTCTATTTTAAAGCTATTTCACGCAGTGCAGAGGCTGCAAAGAGTACAAAACCAGCTGAAAATTATGCGCCACGCAGCAGCAGATGCAAAGCCTGAAAGTAAGTGGAAATTATCAGATGATATAGTTGATCAGAGACTATTGGCGTAGACCGGTAGTCTCCCTTTAAAGCGGTCGACTAAGGAGAAGGATCATCAGGTGCTGTCTCGGCACTGGGAGTGTCCCTTTCTAGCTCACGAAGGAGAGCCCCGACGCAGACAAATTCAGTTTCCACCTGGGGTTTAGACTCCTGCTCAGTGCTCCGTCGGGGGGGGCGGGGGACGCCACAGAAACCGTGTGGGGGGCGGCTCGGCGGGTTGGGAGTGTATGGAGTCCTTAGGATGGGTGTTATGGAAAAGACGGATGGAGAAAAAGTGTGAATCGTTGTTTTAAACCAGGACTATAAAGACAAAGAATAAAACGCTGGGCCCTTTACACTGAGTGTTTTTCATGTGTTTAGGGTTGTGCTAATGACTTAGGGATCTCTGTTGCCACATTAGCTTTACGCAGAGGATAAACTGTTCCAGTATCCCAGGTTACACCCCTGCACCCATCCTAGGCATTTTTGAAGTGTGTTTGTTCCTTGGAAGGGAGGCCACGTGTACGGGAAGAGCAGTGCACAGCTCCCGTGGGTGCTGGAGACGCATTCCAGTGTCGGCACCCAGCTGTGAGAGGGTTGACCCATTTTTCTCTGGTATTCCGTGAAATAGTGTGCTCTCAGACACAGCACACAGAATGACCGTAATAAGGAAAGCCAAACAACAAATGCTGGCGAGAATGTAGAGAAATTGGAACCCTCCTATGCTGCTGATAGGGATATAAAACAGGGCAACTCTTTTGGAAAACAGTGGCAGTTCCTCAAAATGTTAAACAGAATTACAACACGACCCAGCAATTTCATTTCTAAATATCTACCCAGGAGAGCATATGTCCACACAAAAACTTGTACACGAGTGTTCATAGCAGCATTACTCATAATAACCAAAAAGTAGAAACAACCCAAATGCCCATACACTGATGACCGAATGAGCCAGGCGCGGCCCGTCCACACCGTGGAGTGTCGGAGCACAGGCCCGGCGGCCGGCCGGACTCCCGCACGGGCCGGCGGGATGGGGCGGGGCGAGAGGCAGCCGATTCCCGGGCGGTGTTCCTCTTCCTCTCTTTCTCCCTCCCTTCTGCTCTCTCTAAAAGTAAATTAAAGATTAAAATCTTAAAAAAAAAAAAAGAAGTACAGTACGCGCTACAAGAGAAACCATTAACCCCTGTTAACTGGTGGCTTTCCGCAGGACCTCTGACTCTCTCGCGGTCACTGTAAATTCAGATTCGAGCAGTACCCGGAGTCGCGCGCATTCGGTTGTTGGCGCCATTTCATTCTTTACTCGCTGAGTTTTCACTTTTTCATGTCAAATTTCAGGACAAAAGAAAATAATTATTTTTATGATTTTTTTTCTCCATAGTATAATACATATACTTTTTGTATATGTTCTTTGGATTTGATGTGTAGCCATTCACATCTTTAGTATAAAAAGTTAGGATGAACCTTCAGAAGAAACCCATTCAATAGTTGACTGATCAGCACAGTTTAACACCATTTCACATGCGGCCTGACCATGTGTTTCTGCAACATGTGTCATCCTCAGTTTTACTGGGTTAAATGTTTCTTGCTACTGCGTTTTAATTCTGGCAACTAAAATGATATCCAAAGATCTATACAGTGATAGTAATATTTCATTTTTTAACTTGAGTTGATAGTCTTTATTTTGCTTTGGCTTCCTAGTCTACATAGAAATTATTTGGGCCAGGAAATGCACAATTGTTTATTTAGTAATAAAATGGACAAAGTTCTGTTGGAGGCATCTCTTGGGATGTTGGTTTAAAATACTAACATAAGTAATATGTTAGTAGATGCTGCTAAACAATAAAATCAATTGCATATTAAGTAGTAATAAAAATAATCAGCTCAAACCAACAGTCCATTAATTCAGTATTTATCGATCATCTGCATGCCAGATACTATGCTAAATGTTAGGAGTAGAAAGCAAAATATTTCTGGAAAGTGCTCCCAGCGTAGTGGAGGGGTGACATGCGGTGGGCAGTTGGCGTGCAGGGAGGTGAATCTGCTGATGGAGCTCAGCGCAGGGCTCTCCGGGGACAAACCAAGAGGCAAAGCACCGAACGCTAACACACAGTCAGACGGCTTCCTGGACGTGGCGGCCACTGAGTGTGTTAAGACGGAAAGGCGAAGGCGTGGAAGACATTCCGTTCCGAGGTGCAGTGACCTGAAGGAACGTAAAGGTAGCAGGCTGAGCACGTGACGGATGAAGCAGAGAGAAAGGGGCAAGCTGCGTCCGACTGCTCTGCTCGTCTTCACAGAGAGGGCAGGAAAGGGCGTGCGGGAGCGAGCGAGATGGCCCGGTGCCTGGTCGGTGCCTGGTCAGTTGCGGGAGGGCGGTGGCCTGGTGTTCCTGCGCTGCAGGAGAGAGGCAGATAGAGATTTGCCATTTCAGGAGGAAAAGGTGAAAAGATTGATGACAGCCTTCCCTGTTTGCCCCAGGGGCACCCCCCACATTGTATTGAATGTTTTATAGCAGTGACCACAGTGTGTTAATTATTGGCACATCTGACTCTGACTCAGCTGAACTCCAGGAGAGTCACCGAGTCATAATTGGTGTTTCTATTTCCAGGCCCTACACGCTAGATCACACAGTGAGTAGGCTGGTAAGGGCTTGGGAGGTGCGAGTAAGGACCTTAACCCCTCATAGGAGAGCCTGATCCTTTCCAGCCACAGGAGGGGGATCAAGTAAGGAAAAACGGTTAAAGTATGAAAATAAGGTATTATGTATGTAATACACATGTTCTGTGAGCAGACAGGGAACGGGGAGCAGGAAGCCAAAGTTCTTGCTGTGTTGACATCTTGGGAAACAGTTTAAGGGTTGTATTCAACAGCTTAGGAAAAGAATGGATGAAGCAGATGTTCGTTGATCCCAGGTACTTAGTTTAATAAGGTCCATCTAAATTCTTCAGTAACAGAAAGGATTGTAAAAAGTTTCTATTTACTTAAGTAATATAAAAATTATTTTTTAAAAAGATTTTCTTGCCCTGGCTGGCATAGCTCAGTGGATTGAGCGCGGGCTGGGAACCAAAGTGTCCCAGGTTCGATTCCCAGCCAGGGTACATGCCTGGGTTGCAGGCCATAACCCCCAGCAACCGCACATTGATGTGTCTCTCTCTCTCTCTCTCTCTCTCTCTCTCTCTCTCTCTCTCTCTCTCTCTCTCTCTATCTCCCTCCCTTCCCTCTCTAAAAATAAATAAATAAAATCTTAAAAAAAAAGATTTTCTTACTTATTTTTAAAGAGAGGGGAAACGAGAGGGAAAGAGAAGGAGAGAAATGTCAGTGCCTGTGGCCTCTCACATGCCCCCAAATGGGGGCCTGGCCTGCAGCCCAGGCATGTGCTCTGACTAGGAATCGAACTGGTGACCCCTTGATTCACAGGCTGGCATTCAGTCCACTGAGCCACACCAGCCAGGGCTAAAAATTATTTTTAGTGTAACAATGTAATTTGTATTTGTTCAGAGTAACAGCTATATTATATAACATTCAAATTCATCTTGATACTCTGTACATTTGTGACATTTATTACATAAAAGAACCTACTCATTCAATTACAGTAGGATCAGTGAGATGTTTTCAGGGATTTTCAATTAAAAAAAAAAGCTTGCTGAGATTTTAGTGACCAAGATTTCAAAAGGTTATTTTTAAAAAACTGCATAAAAACATATGACTACTTTTCAAGGTCTAAGGTAAAATTTTTAAGAATTTAAAATATGGGAATTGTATTTTCATGGTTTTTAACAGCTCTATTGAGGTAGAATGGACAAATAATAAACTGCACATATTTAAAGTGTACACTTGATAAGAGACCATCAGCCTAATCAAGGGAAGTCTGTTCACCACCCCTCACGGCTCCTCGTGCCTCTGTCCTGCCTCCTCCTGCCCGTGCGTGCCCCTCCACCCGCCCCCGGGCAGCCGTTGGCCTGCTCGCCGTCACTGCGGATGAGTTCGTGTTCTCTAGAACTAGAAACGTTTAAGTAAGGAAAAGCATGTTTAAGGTTTTTTCAATGGGGAAAATAATAGTTCAGAATTCTAAATCTTTTAAAGCATTGCAGACCTCGGTTTCTTACATCTCTGATGACACGCAGCACATTTGAGAACTTGGAGATGGAAAAAACTAGTCATCTAATAGCCAGAGAAACCAGGATGCAGATTTAATCAGAAGCCACATCGGCATGACCGCATAATTATGGGGTGATTCATTAAACACTTTCTCTTCCCTCTCTTTCCCCAGTCCCTAAAAACTTGGGGGGGAATTGTAGGGGTGAATGGAAAACTCATGAATTTGCCATTAATAAGTTTTTACGTTAATATATGGTTAGCACAACAGAACTAAAAATAATTTTAAGGCTTTAGGCCAGGTTTATTATGCAATCTATGTACGTAGATTACTTAAACCGGAAACCCAGTGTTTTAAAAAGTCAAGCCAGAATTTGTAATGTGTAATGGAAAGATCTGAAATAAACTTTCAAAAGCTCTTTAGGCCGGGAATTTATAACAAAACCATTACTGAAAATCTTCTTGTGTGTATATTTGTGTACTCTGCCAAGATAAGAAAACTGTTAAATCTTAAATATGTAATTTAAGTTGCTACTTAACTATAAACTCATACTTTACAAAATCAAAACTTACCAAACATGGAAAACTGAAGTGTAGATAATGAAGGTAGATCATTTCTTTTTTGGATTTTAATGTGTACTTTTAATGATCTCTTCATTGCTTTGAAGCTGACAGAGTATAATGTGTTACCACTTATGAAGTAACAGAATAGAAATAAAAATTGCCTCGGAAGTATTGCAGAAGAAAAAGAGTAAATGACCACAGACAGAAGAAAGAACCTGGATTTGTGCTGTCCTTCGGTTCTTGGATTTCTTACCTAGAATGCAAAATGGGACCCAACGATATACCTGGCTTTTTTTTTTCTTTTCCAAGCACAGTTTACATTCAGTACCATCCCACGCCAGTTTCAGATGTACAGCAAAGTGGCTGGGAAACCTGGAAAACCGTGCATCCCACAGACTGGCCCCCCCGGGGCCCCAGGCACCGCCTGGCCCCACCCCCAGCTCTCTCGAAGTTGCTGACTACCTTCCCCACGCTCTAGCTGGCTTGTTTTGCAAATGTTATTCTTGCATATTATTGAGCGTAAAAGAATTGGGTGGTGATTTGAAAAGATTATAGTATTACCATACTTTCTGTAATTATTAAACATTTCTTCCATGTAAATTGTTCTTTTTCATTATCATTCTAATAACATCAAATGACTTCTGTGGCCAGTCTCTTATGGTACTATACACAGATACACTATACAGATAGATAAATGGGTATTTTGACAGATAGGCCCTGCTGTACTGTTCTTATATTTTATTATTTTTTATTTAAAAAAATATTTATTTATTTTTAGAGAAGAAAGGGAAAGACTGAGGGAGAGAAACATTGATGTACAATAGATACATCATTGCTAGGTTGCCTCTTGCACGCCCCCAGCTGGGGGCCGGGCCCACAGCCCAGCCATATGCCCTGCCTGGGGATCCAGCCAGGGACCTTTCTGTTCACAGGGCAGCGCCCAGCCCGCCGAGCCAGGCCAGCAGGGCCAGGTCTTGTGTTTTGGAATGTGTAGAATATCACTGTACCTCTTCTCAGGGGCTGAATATTCATTTTTTTTATTTCTGAAGGTTTAATGAAGAGACTAGAGGAAGAGATAAAGTTTAATTCATATATGGTAACTGAAAAATTTCCTAAAGAATTAGAGAACAAGAAAAAAGAACTGCATTTTTTACAAAAAGTGGTGTCAGAGCCTGCTATGGGCCATTCTGATCTTCTTGAACTTCAATCCAAAGTAAGTGACAATCATCTTTTTATAGCTCCCAATTTTATCTCATCCTCAGTCCCGTGAAAATTATGTGAACTGCTTTCTGTAGTGTCCTTGGCTTCTAGGTTAACCTGAGCTGAGAGCTGAGAGCTCTTGTGACAAGTTGCTCTTTCTGAGGAGTTCCGGCAGGTAATGCCGTTACTTGACATGCATGGGGTTATACAGTCCTAGTCACCTGTGTGGGAAGCCAAGTAACTTGGATGTATAAATTAATGCGTATGATAGACTCATAGGTTTATGTATTCATAGTACATAACTGGCTAATATAATGTATTCATAATAATTAGATGGCAAATTTTAAATATCATTCATTTTTAAGAATAATAATATAGCAATTTTTATATTTAAAGCTAATGTATTTATTAGCCTTTTATGCCAGCTTTGAAATTACTAAACTTTCTTGTAATGCTCATTAAAACCTGGTATCATCAATATTATAACATTTTTGCTCCCTAGAAATAAAACAGTAATCGGATGTGTATTTTTAACAACTACCAAGAAAATTGAAAGGTTTTGACTTGCTAATCACTTAATGTGCTTACAAGCCACCAAAATTAAATACATAATGTTGATTATTTTATTCTTTTAATTTACTTGTGGAAATTAGATGTTCAAGTCAGATTTGACTCAAATTTAATGTCACGGAACTAATAGGATAACTCTGGTCTTGGGAAAGTATGGATGGGTGCACTGAAAGCCATGCAATCTTAAAAAACTTTCTGAGAGACGTACGCTTCCGCTGGCCTCATTCAGCGTTATGACCCTGGGGAAGGTCCAGGTTAATGACAAGCGCGCACGACAGCCGTGGAGACCGCGGGTCCGTAGACCAGGAGGCTTTTGGGTGTCACCTGCGCTCCCTCCCAGCTGGGTTCGTGACGTCCTTGTACAAACCCCGAGGGACGTTAGTCTGCTTTTGCTTTGTCACTTGCAGTGACTCGAAAGTCACCACCTCGGCAAGGGGATAACCAGATTTTCAGAGATTGCCTTTTTTAGAATGTATAAATATTTCGGGATAATTTAGATGTGAAGGGTTAGATCCATATAAGTAGTTTATCATGAACCATGAAATGTTCATTATCTCTAAAAGTCATCACAACAACCCACCCCTAACATCAATCGAACTGTTGCTCCCGTCAGATCACTGGCGATAAAACTGTAAATTCGAAGTTTGGTTTGGCCAGTGGTCCCTTACTTTAGGTCTTCTTAGGGAGAGATGTAACCTTTTTTATTTCTATACTGTTTCAGATAAATGAAATAAACACACAGATCAATCAGCTGATTGAGAAGAAAATGATGAGAAATGAGCCGATCGAGGGCAAACTCTCACTGTACAGGCAGCAGGTAAGACTGTGCTCTGGCCCCCACTTAGCTCTGAGCGCCTCCGTGAACACCGCAGGCTGTGTGGTCTCGAGTGTGAAAGCGAGCAGGAGTAGGGAACGGGTGTCCTGTATCGTTGCCAGTCCCCAGATTACAGCAGGGAACTGTGGGAAAGCCACAACAGACGTGCGTTCAAGTTTGAGATGCAGTGCACCTGGTGATGTCCAGTTCCCTTCGCACCTGCCAGCTGCGGTGCTGGGGCTGTTCGTGTTTATGTCTGTGAGTGTGCAATTTGATTGTTCAAATGAAAGGTTGCCTTAAGGGATTTAAATCAAAATGGTTATAATCTTTAATGAATTGAAGGCAATATATTGTTTCCAGTTTAAAGTTAGTTTGCGAGAGTAGAATTAATTAAATTTTAGTGCTAAGGCCATTTGTTATTTTATCCACATCTGTTAGATTGTGAGGGTATATGTTATGTATTTCTAGACAGAAGGTTTAGATGAAAGCAGTGGATTATCTGAAAACAACCCAGGCAGAAGCAGTTTAGTTTGAAAAGCATTCTGTAACCTCAGAAAATGCTAAGCTACATAATGAAGCATTATTCAAGGATGTTATAGTTTTTTAAAAACAGATTTTATTTATTTTTAGAAAGACGGGGGGAAAGAGAGGGAGAGAAACATCGTGCGGTTGCCCCACCAAAGGGGGACCTGGCCCGCAACCTGGGCATGTGCCCTGACCTGCAGCCGAACCTGCAGTCCTTTGGTTTGTGGGATGACAGCCAACCCACTGGGCCATACCATTCAGGGCACAATTTGGTTTTTGAGATTTTGTTTATTTATTTTTAGAGAGGGCGAGGGAGGGAGAAAGAGCGGGAGGGAGAAAGAGAGGGAGGGAAACATTGATCAGTTGCCTCTCGTATGTTCCCTGACCAGGGATTGAACTCACAACCCAGACGTGTACCCTGACTGGAATTGAACTGTTGACCCTTTGCTTTGCAGAATGACGCCCAGCCAACTGAGCCACACCGTCAGGGCAAGGATATTAGAATTTTTGAAAACCTTTTTATAATGGAAAATTTTAACCACTTACAAAGAGAGACAAGAGAGTTCAGTAAAACTTCACGTGTCCCTAAGCTCTAGCAGTCACGGTCCTCGCGTGTCAGCTGTACCTCGGGCCATTTTCCCTTATGAACTGAAGGGTCTCCCTTTATTTTACTACAAATGTATAAGTGCTATTGGATTTATTCTAGATTTTCTATGTATTGCCTATCTGTGTATGCACCCATATTGACAGTTTCATTTGCAGAAACTTTATAATCAGGCTCTAATATCCAATAAAAGTAGCTACCTTGACCCCCAATTGCTCTTTCAGGGTTTTCCTTCGATTCCTGTTCATATATTCTTCCAAATAAGCTTGTTTTAAAAGAGTTCATTTATTTATTTTTAGAGAGAGGGAAGGGACAGAAAAAGAGAGGGAGAAAAACATCCATGTGTGAGAGACACGTCAGTTGGTTGCTGTCACACGTCCCTAGCTGGAGACCCGGCCTGCAGCCAGGCACGTGCCCTGACTGGGAATCGAACCAGCGATTCTTTGGTTCAGCAGCTGGCACTCAGTCCACTGAGCCACACCAACCAACCAGGGCCAAATAAGCTTTATTTTCAACTTGTCTAGCTCTAGAAAAAAAAACACAATTTAAAAATCTGAGCATTGCTTTATATTTATCAATTACCTCAGAACTTACCTCTTTATGATACTGAGGCTTCTTGTCTAAGAACATGGTATGTCTCTGCATTTGTTCAAGTTTGCTTTTCCTCATCAAGTTTCGAACTTCTCTTGTTAGATTCATGCTACCATTTTTTATTTGTTACTTTTACAAATGAGGGCTTTTCTTTCCTGTGTCCTCTAACCCATTTATTTGTCTATGAAAGCTGTTGATTTGTTTACTGTACTTTTTCCATAGATTTTCTTGGCTTTTTAGGTATATCATCATATGCTATGAAAATTCCTTTTTTAAAAATTGTTGACCTTATTACAGATGCCCCGTTTTCCCCTCTTCTGCCCCCCTCCACCCAGCGCCCCCTCCCCCAGTCTTCACCGCACTGCCGTCTGTGTCCATGGGCCATGCACGTGTGTGTATGTGATCTTTGGCTAATCTCTTTCAGTCCCCGCCAGCCCCTCCCCTCTGAGATCTGTCAGTCTGTCCAGTGTACCCATGCCTCTGGTCTTATTTTGTTCATTAGATTCCACACTTGTGTAAGTGAGATCACATGGTATTTGTCCTTCTCTGATTTATTTCCATTAGCATAATAATCTCCAGGTCCATCCACTCTGTCTGTTGCAACGGGTAAGGTCTCCCTTTTTATAGCTGCATAATATTCCATTTTGTAAATGTACCATATTTTTTATCCACTCATCTACTGATGGGCACTTGGGCTGTTCCCAGATTCTTATGTTTCTGTTGCTTTCTCTTTTCTAACCGTGGGAACAAATACCTTTGACACAGTATTAAATTGGTGTGGTGGCAGTGGGATTTTTATCTCGTTCCGGACTTTAGTGGGAGATAGCTTCAAATTTCTCTACTAAGTAAGATCCTGGTTTGGGCTGAGGTTTATATATATTTTATCATGTTAAGGAAGTACATCATCAATTCCTCTACAGTTCTGAAACTTATCACTCCTTCTCATTTTCTAGCAGGCATACTTCTACAGAGACGAACATTCCTTCATCACCTGTCTTTTCATTTTTTTTAACAGGCAGGGCAGTTGAATTTTTTTAAAGGTTTGCACTAGAGATTCCCCTTTTCCAGTCACATTGAAGAAGATACTTAACACTGTTTCACTTTAGAAGACAGTTTGACTATTGTTCTTCCTAGGCTGGTACAGCACTGATTCATTAAGGGAAACCCTCCAAGAGCTGCTAACAAATATAAAATGCTGCATTCGTGACGAGAGCAGCGATTTGGATTGTGCAAACATTTGCATAATTCTAGTGAGTTAGATGTGTGACTTTGAACCTGCACTTTATTTATCAGCAGGCCCCAAATATAATAGATGCTTTAACCTTTCGTTTTTAAAATACGGATATTGGATTTAGATAAGATAACCTGTGTCATAGGATTGAAAATAAAACATTCTTTTCTTCCAATGAAAGGACATCCACCATGCAGAAAAGCATCAGACTTATGTTAGCTTCTATTTACTTACCTTGAATGCACTTTCATTAGCATTTGAATATTACTTGACAAGATTTTTATATTTTTGTTATTACTGCATTTTTATTTCTTTGCCGGTATCCCCTATATTTTCAGTGCTTTGGTCTTCCAAAATGTTTATAGGTTGATATTTAATTTACATTGCAAACTCATACTAAATATATAACTGGTGACGATAAGTAGTAATATAGGTCAGGACAAGCCAACTGTAGATTTTACTGTGCTAAATATAGCTACAAAGTAGGTAATTTCACAATTTAATAGATAGTTGATTGCATATGTTTTATTTTACATTCATATTTAATGCTCAATTAGGCATCCATCATTTCTCGTAAAAAAGAAGCGAAAGCTGAGGAGCTTCAGGAGACAAAGGAGAAGCTAGCCAGCCTCGAGAGAGAGGTGTCAGTGAAGACAAATCAGACGCGTGAACTTGACGGCACTGAGATTCTGAAGGGGGACGAGGTAAGCTGAGTTCTCTCGTGGGACAAGGACGTGACTGTTGCTCTTGTCTGAAACCATTAATGATTTTGCCTTTTTATTTTGAATTTAACCAATGGGAAGTTGTTTTTAAAAACCTATTTATTTAAAACTGAAAACTATGTGCAGTAATATTAAAATCTTTTTAAAAGATTTTATTTATTTATTTTTAGACAGGGGAAGGGAGGGAGAGAGGGAGAGAAACACCAATGTGTGGGTTGCCTCTTGCACACCCCCTACTGAGGACCTGGCCAGCAGCCCAGGTCTCTGCCCCTTGACTGGGAATCAAACTGGTGACCCTTTGGTTCAAAGACCCTTTGGTTCACCACAAACCCTTTGGTTCACAATCCACTGAGCCACACCAGCCAGGTCAAGATTTTCTTAATATATAATTATAAATCATAGTGATTTAGTGAGCTAATGTTCCGAATTTCCACTTTTTAATTAAGTGAATTTATACTGGGTTTATTTATTATAGGTATTAAGTTATAAAAGTGAAACAAAATGAGTAGGTATATATACACAAAAAAGTTGTAATTGTTGATAAATGTAATTTCATAGGGGGCTGAGAAAAATTACCTACAGGTTACTTTGTCCATAATGTGTGTTTGAGCAGTTGCACTGACACCATTCGAATGACTGCCTTGTAAATGATGACAAACTTTAAAAACACAGTTGTATCTTGTGTTGCTGTGCGTACTTTAAATTTCGAACAGTGCTTTCACAGCTGTTATTTCATTTATCCTTTTGTCAGGCTCATGTGATTAGCAGGAAAGGTAATAATTGTCATCTGTAGATGGTTAAACCTAAGCACCAAAAATATAATTCCCTATCTTTTTTTTCATGAAGTTAGCTCAAGAGTGAATGAAGGAAGGAAAATATCTTACCTTCAGCTTAGTGCTTTTTTTGAAAATCAAGGGATAGATCACATTTTAATTCCTAAACATTGGCTTGTACTTGACCATCTCTTATTGCTCTGTTATTTTATATTAGCTACTAGGCCTCAGCAAAACCTACTTTGAAAAGATGCTCTGTCCAGAGCTCATTTTGGCTTTGAAAAGTTATTGAATTCATACTGTTACAAACTGGCAGTGAACCTTCACTGTGCCAAACACTTTTCTCTGTGTTGCTTCTGATGGTAGCTCCCACAATATGCCTTTTAGCTGATTGCGGAAGGGGTAAATTTCAGAAGTCAGCAGTTAATTACAACACTCCTTTGGCTGTTAACATCTGCGTCCAGATCACTTTGAGTCACGGAGCACTTTAAATGATACTTGGAAGCAACAACATGTGCTTCGTGACATCCTTGCTATCCAGGAAAAAGAAGAGATTAATTATGCAACAATTTTGCTTTATAAGAGAACATGTTACCTCCTAGCATTTTTATATCTTCTTTTTTTTTAAAGATTTTATTCATTTATTTTTAGAGAGGGAAGGGAGGGAGAAAGAGAGAGAAACATCAATGTGCGGTTGCTGGGGGCCGTGGCCTGCAACCCAGGCATGTGCCCTGACTGGGAATCGAACCTGCGACACTTTGGTTTGCAGCCCACACTCAATCCACTGAGCTACGCCAGCCAGGGCATTTTTATATCTTAAGAAAATGCTGCCCAATTCACAGGAAGTACTAATTGCTATGTCCACATTTGGCATGACTAACGCTTAGAATTCAGTATTAGATATTCCCATATGCAAATAGGGGAAAAGAACCTAGTGCCGGCTATTGGCCTTTATTTTTTACTAAATATGGTATATAGGAGAAGTATCTGATGGCAGGAAAAGGCATGCTTTTTTAAACAGATATTTTATTTATTTATTTTTAGACAGAAGGGAGGGGAGGGAGAAAGGGAGAGAAACATCAGTGTGTGGCTGCACTTCTGTGGCCTTGCTGGGGACCCGGCCCGCAACCCAGGCACGCGCCCTGGCCGGGAACCTGAAGGCGACCCTTTGGTTCTCAGCCGGCGCTCAGCCCACTGAGCCACACCAGCCAGGGCCATCCTTTTTTTTATTAAGGGGAAAAAGATAACCTTGGGAATTTTAAGGTCCACTTAATTTTTAAAAAGTGGCCAGAAATGGGAATATTTCAAATAAACCAGTTACTTGGCATTTACTTAAATGAACAGAAGGTACTAGGGAACATTAAGCACAATCTTATAAGTGACAAATCTTGGTAGACCAATTTTATATTCTACTTTGTTGAACTGATAGGCCATATGGACAAAAAGGAGGAAGTGTGTTATATAATATAGCTGGACTGTACTGAGGTTTCATTTGATACCACATGGTAATCACCAAAAAGTCATGTTCTTTGTGACTCACCTGTTAACACAGTTGGTGAGAGAGTATCAAGAAGTAGTAGCATGGTTGGGTGGGTGGGCTGGGACGGGAGTAAGAAGTAATTTAAAGAAAAGAAAAAAAAGAAAAACAGTAGTAGCATGGTGTTCGGAAAGAATATTATGCCAGGAATCACAAAAATGGAGTAACATTTATTGAGTACTTTTTCTGTAAGGCTCTGTGGTAGAGGTTTTGCAGACATATACTTTACTTCTTGTAAGATGTTATTGGAACTATATGAAACTAAAAAGCTTCTGCATGGCTAAAGAAATCATCAAAATGAAAAGGGAACCGAATATATGGGAGAACATATTTGCCAGTGATACATCAGACAAGGCTTTGATCTCCAAAATATATAAAGAATTTGTACAGCTCAACACCAGGAAGGCAAACAATCCAATTTAGAAAATGGGCAAAGGATCCGAATAGGCACTTCTCTAAGGAGGTCGTGCAGATGGCGCATAGACATATGAAGAGATGCTCAGCATCACTGGCCATCAGAGAGATGCAAATTAAAACCATGTTGCGATATCACCTCACACCTGCCAGAATAGCTGTCACTAATAAATCAACAAACAACAAGTGCTGGTGAGGATGCAGAGAAAGGGGACCCTAGTGCACTGTTGGTGGGAATGCAGAATGGTGCAGCCACATGTGGCTGTGGGAAACAGTATGGAATTTCCTCAAAAAACTAAAAATGGAACTGACTTTTGACCCTGTGGGAATATACCCTAAGAATTCCAAGTCACCAACTAAAAGAACTTACACACCCCTATGTTCATAGCAGCGCTACTTACAATAGCCAAGTGCTGGAAACAGCCTATGTATCCATCAGTAAATGAGTGGATCAAAAAACTGTGGTACATTTACTCAATGGAATATTGCGAAACGGAAAGAAAAAAGGAACTCCTACCTTTTGTGACAGCATAGATGGAACTGGAGGCTATTATGCTAAGTGCAATAAGGCAGTCAGTGCTGAATTAATACCTATAATTAATACATGATCTCACCTATAAGAGGAATCTAATAAACAATGAACTAATGAACAAAAGAGAACCACAGGCATGGAAACATGGAACAGACTGAAAGTGACGAGAGGGGAGCGGGTTTGGGGACAGTGGTGGAAAGAAGGGGAAGGACCTAGACAAAGAGCATGTATGAGTGACCCGCGGGCACGGACGACAGTGTGGGAATTGACTGTGGGGGATGGGGTGGGGTGGGAGGGGCAGAGGAGGGCAAAAGGGGAAAATTTGGGACACCTGTAATAGAATAACAATAAAAATGATTTAAAAACAGGTGTTGTTTACACTTATGACGGGGTGAAGGGAGATTGTATATCCACACAGCTAATAAGTGGCCAAGCTGGGATTCAGGTCTTTCTCACACGTTCCTTTTGACCTTGAGCAAATCACTTCTCTGCCTGTAAAATGGGGGGGGGAGGTGATTGCTCTTATTCATAAAATACAGAGTATCTTCCAGCCAAGATGAAGGCATAGTTAGACATACTGTGCCTCCTCGCACAACCAAAATTAAGGACAACCAAAATTTAGAAATAAAAAACAACCAGATCTGACAGAAAATTGAACTGTACGGGAGTCCGACAACCATTCATCCAGACCAGCAAGCGGGGGCGGAGTCAGCGGCCCACAGAGAGGGGTCAAGGCAGGAAAAAGCGGTTGGTGGTCCAGGGCATGCAGGCAGTGCAGCTGGCAGACCCAGTGAGGCGCGCAAGCCTGCTGGCTGACCTCAGACACACACTCACGAGCACATAAACCAGGCGAAAACGGGGAGCGAGACAGACCGCGCAACCCAGACCCCAAGGCCAGGAAATGGACCACAGGGTCCTAGAATGTACACAAGCCCACCCACACAGGAATCAGCACCAGAAGAGCCCACTTTGCTTGGGGGAAGAGGCGGAAGTGATTGAAATATGAGAGCAGAGCCAGTGCCGTAGTTCCCTCTCTGAACCCGCCTCCCCATGCAGCGTCACAACCCAGCGACTGGGTTGCCCCTCATACGTAACAGGCACGACCAGGCCCTCCCCCCCAAAAAATGGCTCAAATGGAAAAACAGATCAAAGCTCCAAAGACAATACATCTAAGCGACAAAGAGATAGCCAACCTATCAGGTGCATAGTTCAAAGCACTGGTGATCAGGATGCTCACAGAATTGGTTGATTTTGTTTGCAAATTAGATGAAGAAATGAAGGCTATGCTAAGTGAAATGAAGGAAAATGCACAGGGAACCAATAGTGATGGGAAGAAAACTGGGACTCAAATCAATGGAGTGGACCAGAAGGAAGAAAGAAACAACCAAACAAAAAAGAATGAAGGAACAAGAATTCAGAAAAATGAGGAGAGGCTTAGAAACCTCCAGGACATCTTTAAACATTCCAACATCCGAATGATAGGGGTACCAGAAGGGGAAGAGGAGGAGCAACAAGTGGAAAACTTATTTGAACAAATAATAAAGGGGGAACTTCCCCAATCTGGCAAAGGAAATAGACTTCCAGGAAGTCCAGGAAGCTCAGAGAGTCCCAAAGAAGTTGGACTCAAAGAGGAACACACTAAGGCACATCATAATTACATTAGCCAAGGTAAAAATGGAGGAGAGAATCCTAGAAGCAGCAAGAGATAAGGGGACAGTCACCTACA